TATTTCCCTCGTTTAATGACTTTCTCAAACGTTTCTGCACTGTGTTCGATCATCCGGAGGGTGGTCGTAACGCTGGCGAGGAGCTATTGTGTATCCAACAGGGAGATCGCTCCGCAGCTGAGTTCGCTCTGCAGTTCCGCACCTTGGCAGCGCAAACTGGCTGGGCTGATGATCCGCTCGTCACGCTCTACAGAAGGGCTCTAAAGCCAGAATTGCAGCGAGAGATGGCATGTCGTGACGATGGGAAAACTCTGGATCAACTAATCGAGCTTTCCATAAGGTTAGACACTCTCCTCCGCACTCGCAATCCGCTCTGCTCAATTGCTTCCAGTCCTGTATCCCCTGAAACCTCCGCTGAACCCATGCAATTGGGTAGAAACCGTCTGAACCCAAAAGAGCGAGAACGACGGAGAAGAAATCACTTGTGCATTTACTGCGGACTTCCAGGTCATACGAAGGTTTTATGTTCCAACAAGCCTCTCCCTAAAACCCTCTCGATGAGTGCAACCACTATGTTCACTACCACTAATAATGTTGTGAATCTGCCTGTCACTTTGAGAAATGATGGAAACGAGATTGAGACTATGGCCATGATCGATTCAGGAGCCGCTGGTAACTTTATCGATTACACGTTTGCCACCACTCACTCCATTCCTCTAACCTCCTGTGATTCCTCCATAGCCATCACTGCTGTAGATGGGCGCCCTTTGGGAGAAGGACGTATAAAATTCCAGACCCTGCCAATCTTGCTTCAAACAGGCTCTCTCCATGAAGAAGAAATTTCCCTTCTTGCCATCAACTCCCCTAAACACTCTGTGATTCTTGGGTTACCATGGCTACAACAGTATGACCCTCAAGTCTCTTGGAGATCTGGTGAGATTATAAAATGGAGCAATCAATGCTTTACCCAATGTCTGCATCCTGTTTCCCCTATCCAGATCAACACAATTAACAAGACCGAAGACGCTGAACTCCAGCATGTTCCTGATGCGTATCACGATCTAACTGAAGCATTCAATAAGCAGAAGGCTACTAAGCTCCCTCCTCATCGTGATAATGACTGTGCCATTGAGCTGCTACCCGGCACCACGCCCCCTCGTGGTCGCATCTTCCCTCTCTCACAACCTGAAACTGAGGCTATGAAGAAGTACATCTCTGAAGAGCTAGAGAAAGGATTCATTCGACCATCCACTTCTCCCGCTTCAGCAGGGTTTTTCTTCGTTAAGAAGAAGGATGGCAGCTTACGCCCTTGCATTGATTACCGAGGCTTGAATGAGATCACAGTCAAATACCGCTACCCATTACCATTGGTTCCTGCCGCCCTTGAACAACTCCGATCCGCCCAGTATTTCACTAAGTTGGACCTCCGTAGTGCCTATAACCTCATCCGCATACGACAAGGAGACGAGTGGAAAACCGGGTTCTCTACAATTGACGGCCACTACGAATATCTCGTTATGCCCTTCGGCCTAGCAAACAGTCCTTCCGTGTTCCAGGCATTTGTAAATGAGATATTTAGAGACATGCTCAACAAATGGGTCATAGTATATATTGACGACATCCTGGTCTATTCCAATTCGCTATCTGAGCATATCCAGCACGTTCGGGCAGTGCTCACACGTCTCATTAAAAACCAGCTGTATGCAAAAAGCTCCAAGTGCGAATTCCACCAGACCTGCATCTCATTCCTTGGCTACATTATCAGTCCAGAAGGAGTGGCCATGGACCAGCAAAAGGTTGACTCTGTGACACAATGGCCGCAACCCGAAACAATCAGGCAACTACAACGATTCCTGGGCTTTGCTAACTTCTACAGGCGCTTCATACGGAACTTCAGTTCAGTCGCTGCCCCACTGACCGCCATGGTCAAAGCCAACAATGCTCGCCTGAAATGGAACCCCGACGCTGTCCGAGCATTCACCCAGCTAAAGACTCGCTTCTCCAGTGCACCCATTCTGCGTCATCCTGATCCCGAACAACCCTTTGTCGTCGAAATTGACGCGTCAAACACTGGGATTGGAGCCATCCTGTCCCAGCGATCCCTAGTGAATAAGAAGCTCCATCCCTGTGCCTTCTATTCTCGCAAGCTTAACTCCGCTGAACGGAACTACGATGTGGGAAACCGAGAACTCCTCGCCATGAAAGCTGCGCTTGAGGAATGGAGACACTGGCTTGAGGGCGCAAAACACCCTTTCATCGTCATCACTGATCACAAGAACCTAGAATACATCCGGTCTTGTAAACGTCTGAATCCTAGACAGGCAAGATGGGCGCTGTTTTTCACCCGATTTGACTTCCAAGTCACCTATATCCCTGGTTCGAAGAACATCAAAGCAGATGCTCTGTCCCGCCTCTCAGATGATGAGACCTCTGAAATCCCTGACGAGCCCATAATCAAAAGTCCTCTAATTGTCGCTCCCATCCATTGGGATATAGATCAGGAGATCCTCCAAGCCGCCGAAAGTAATCCTTCTCAGCAGCCCTGTCCGGAGAATAAAATCTTTGTTCCCCCGTCGCTTCGAGAAAGACTCATCTCCGAGGTACATGACCACCCCAGTTCCGGTCACCCAGGCAGCACAGCCACTGTGCAAATTATTCAATCCCGCTACTGGTGGTCATCCATACACAAGGATGTAATCAACTTCATTAACAAATGCTCACCCTGTCAGATGTCCAAACACTCCCGTTTCATCACCGATTTACCCATATCTCAGGGCAAAACCACCATCCTCACAGTAGTGGACCGATTTTCGAAATCCTGCCGCCTTATTCCCATTTCCAAACTGCCCACAGCCATGGAAACGGCTGAGTTACTCTGCGAGTGTGTGTTTCGGTACTATGGTCTCCCCGAAGACATCGTATCGGATAGAGGTCCCCAGTTTACATCCCGACTCTGGTCAGCATTCTTCAGAAATCTCCAAATCAACGTCAGCCTAACATCCGGCTATCATCCCCAATCCAACGGGCAGACAGAGCGCTTGAACCAAGAGATCGGTCGATTCCTCCGCACGTATTGTCACTCGAACCAGAACAAATGGGCCAAATTTTTGATGTGGGCAGAATATGCTCAGAACTCCCTCAGAAAGGCATCTACTGGATTAACCCCATTTCAATGCGTGCTGGGCTTCCAACCTCCGCTCTTTCCCTGGTCCGGCGAGACCTCTAAACTCCCTGCGGTGGATACCTGGTTTAAAAACTGCGAAGAGGTCTGGAACGCAGCTCATACTCACCTCTCTCACGCCATAAGGCGTTTCAAGGAACAAGCCGATCGACACCGACGTCCTGGTCCCATGTATTCCCCAGGACAATGGGTATGGCTTTCCACCCGCGACTTACGCCTCAAGCTGCCCTGCAAGAAACTCAGTCCCAGGTACGTGGGTCCTTTCCAGATAGAAAGACAAATATCTCCTGTTTCGTTCAGACTGACACTCCCTAATCATTTTCGTATTTCCCCAACTTTCCATGTCTCTCTGCTCAAGCCTGCTGCTGGTCCAGCCGAGACGGATAGGGAGGTGGCAGCCGGTGAACAGGGTCCCCCGCCTCTCATGATCGATGGCGAAGAGGCTTACCAGATCCACGAGATCCTGAGATCCAGACGCCGGGGCGGTCAACTCCAATATCTCGTTGATTGGGAGGGGTACGGTCCGGAGGAGAGATCTTGGATTAACCGCAAGGATATCCTCGACACCACACTACTGGAAGAGTTCCACTCACAACATCCGGAGATGCCGGCCCCTCGCCCCCGTGGAAGACCCCGGCGTCGAGAATTGCCTCACTTCAGGAGCCGTTCGTTGGGGGGGGGCTCTGTCACCGACTCGGTCCCAGTCATTCCCCTCGCTGACCAGCAGAGGTCACCATCTCCGGACTTCTAACCATTACGTCATCCTTCTCACTCAGATCCCAGCACACCTGTTCTCCATCTCATTAATGACCCACGTACCACATATAAGCAGCTCACACACACACTCCATTGCGAAGTCTTGTTTAGCCCCAGCCAGCATTTCTGAGCGTTCTATCCTGCCTGATCTCCCGTTTACCACTTCAGCCCGTACCTCGACTCTGCTCTGTCTTCTGCCTGCCCTTGACCTAAAGCCTGATTACACGGACTCTGATTCTCGCTGCCTGCCCCTGACTAAAGCCTGTATTACGGACTCTGAACCACGCTGCCTGCCCTTGACTCAAGCCTGGTAATCACTCTGCCTCTGTTATCTGCTAACCATCGTTGAGTTGTATGTTGTATGTTCGCACAACCGTGCGAGGTGTTGATGTTTAAGTGTGACTTAATAAATACTGCAAAATGGATCCCTCCGTGTCAGTCTCCCCGTTACAGTGAGGATGACGACAGGTAGCACTGCTTCACCTGCCTTCCCTGACCGCATGTCTCTGGTGTAAAGAGTTCAACACCGGAATGTTTAATCTTTTTCCAGTGTTTATGATATTTCTCTAGCATGAGTATTTGCAAAAATTAACATACAATAGCATTATATATAAAACATACTGTATATATAGTTACAGTCTTGGAATTTTTAGGCTATGTAGAACATACTATATATAGCTTTAGAGTTGAATATTATTACATTTACATTAATACATAGATTATTATTTCCTGCCTTTTGATATTTAAGTACCACTCCTAGTAAACTCCTTTTTCAATTGGAAAGAGTTTATCTTTTAATGGTGGGATTAGTGTTTGGCTGTAGCAATTATAAAACGATATGATGCTTCTATTTAGCTAGCTAAACTCTTTGGGCTTATGATGTCATTTGCCATATTGGATCAACAGCAGTGCTAAAGCACATATGATGCCTGCGTCTTGACTGTTATTTCAGTTAGTGAATACACATAAAAGGGATGTTTACATACCATAACACTATCTACTCAGATCTTGCATGGATGTTGTTTTTCAGCAGGCAGAAGTGTTTGCTGTTCTCTCTCTCACTTCCTCTTACCCACTCTCTATCTAACCTCACTGTTGTCTTTCTCAATGTGCTTCCCCTCAGTAAGCCCCACTAAAGAGATAAAGGTGGTGTCGGCGGTGCGGCGGAGCAGCATGAGCAGTAGCTGTGGTAGCAGCGGATACTACAGCAGCAGCCCCACACTCAGCAGCAGCCCGCCTGTTCTCTGCAACCCCAAATCAGGTAAGTGCGAAGGCCAAAAACACATGAACTCCCTAATAGCACACACTCTGCAGAGATGTCTATTTAAAGTATGTGTTTACACATGAAACACATATTACATCTATGCCTCATTTTCTGTTGGATGCATTTATAATATCCCTTTAAAGGGTAAGTTCACCCAAGAATGTAAATTCAATTATTAATTAGTCAGCCTCACATCGTTTCAATCCCCTTAGACATTCAGAACATACTTTAGATGAAATCCTTGGGCTCTCTCACCCTCTATAAACAGCATGGGTGTAATGAGATGCTCAGCATCCAGAAAAGAAAGCAAAATTGTCAAAACATTCATTGTGACTTCAGTGGTTTATAAGGAAGATGACTTTATTCACATATATTGAATTAAAATGGTCTCTTCACCAATTTGAGTGCATGGAAAACTTGTGTATGAGTGACCATGCTGTCAGTCCATTTGATTCCTTTGTGCGTACTTAAGAGGAACTTACTTTACTCACCCATATTTAAGAACAGTATGGAGGAAGGCCAGTCAGCTGACAGGAAGCAGGAAACTATACAGAGATCAGTCAGAGATTTTCTTACTATGGGGAGATGCCTTACCATTGGAAAAATGTAATGCTAAATTGGTCATGTAAAGCATATAATAGCCAATCACATTGTGGCTTTTGGTGTCTTTTCCTGTATACTGCCACATACATTAGCATTAGCTGTTATGCTTTTTAAGCTAATGATTTCAGGCATGCCTTCAATAGGCTTTGAGGCAGCATGGCTAACACAACAGGGCTACTGTAACCAGGGAAGTGACGCTGACAACAGGGGTGCGGATCCAAATGCAGGTTTATTAGAATGGTCAACACAGGGGCAAACAGATGTCAGGGCTCAACAATAAGGACTGCCCGATGGCCCGGGGCCAGTGTGTGAGATGCTCGGGACAGTAGACAGGATCATTACTGGCCCGATCGGGCCACTGCTGCCTTGTCACTAAAGTTTAATTTGCCTGTGACTATTTGTCAATTGCGTGCAAATACAGTTTTAGAATTGAGAAACAGTTTGTGCTTTCAAGCCTTCAAATGCTACCTTCTTGGTTCTTCTTATCTGATTGGATGTTGTGAGCATGTTATTAGTACAGCAAAGAGATAGCAACATGGCGGTAACATCAAATGATGATGCTAAAGGAAAACATTTTTTTCTAACGTCTTGGAAGCAGACATATACGAGCGTACACCATGACTTTATTGAATTTATGTACAGTTTGCAGTCAGTTTGGCCGGTCTTTAGCCATCTTTTATTTCAAAACACTTTGAATTTTGCTCATTACACATTTATTAAAATGTTTTAAATATTTAAATTCTAGATTTACAAACATTTTGACACGTTTTCGTTTTATTTGTGGCTAAGAAATAGCTATAAACTTTTTTTGGTGGGGCCAGTGAAAATATTGGCAGAGCAAGTAAAAATCTGAACCACTGGTCCGATTGGGCCAGTAGAAAAAATCCTTAGCGTTGAACCTTGGATATATACAAGCAATCCAGAATCGTATTCAATAAACAGGCAGATGGTCAGAGGCAGGCAGCAGAAAGTAATAAACAAGGCGAGATCAAAAACACACCAAAGAAGGACAAAGGAAAGCTCATTGTAGTGTCACATAAACAGTAGACAAGTCTCAGCAGTGTCTCAAAGTGAGCCGAATATATGTGTGTGTAATCATTGAGCAGCATCAGCTGTAAGAGTGTAATCAGTCAGGATCCTGAACCGGTTGTGTGTGTGATGCATGACTAGGTTTTGTAGTCTATTATGAGGCAGGATTGTAGTTCGTGTGAATGTTTTCCAGCGATCTCTGATGGTTAGCTCGCTGGTGATCATGACAGCTACTAACAGCTTCCAAACTTTTCTGTATTGTGGAGTTTTTCTTTGTTTGGACACACATTTTCCCTTTTCACAATATTCTTGCAAGCTTGTGTATTCTCTGTTTTGAATTCCTAATACACTTTGGAACGTTTACAGCACAGGTTTATTTTCTGTCGGGTATGGCGCATTGAACTGTATGTTTTCAACAGACTGAGCTTCTTGCTTTATTTTGTTGTTTTAAAGCCCATTGAATGCTGTTGAGTATACTTTTTGTACCACAGTTATTTTTGTGTCATTCTTTTAACACTTACAAACAGCTTACACAACTAAATTTGACCCACTTTAAACTTTGTTACCTTCTGGTGAGGATGAACATTGCATACAGTATGGATGTACTGTGCCTCAACATAAATTAAGCCACAGAGGCTGGAAAGGCGTTTTAAATAAATCTAAATGTTTAATGAGTGAACTAAAAAGTATTTATACTGAAACTGTTATAGTGTTGTGATTAATGTGCAGGCCCTGTACAGGCCTAGGGAGGGCTTACTTGATCGCTAGGTGAGGGCTGCCCATGCAGGGCCAGCAATGACCAACATTTTGTCAATGATGAAAGTCTCAGTTAGACATATGCCAAAATTCAATAATCAAATGTATTGTGATAACTGTAGAGCGTTGTATTTGCATTGATATTCATAACAGCTTAGTAGTTCAAACATGAACATTTCAACATTATTATTATTATCTGGACTACTACATGCTTGAAATATTGATTGAAAATTCTGTGACTATTTATAAATTTACAGTCCATTAGTTCACTACAAAAGCTTTTATTAATGTTGTATAATATAAATTACTTGGCCAATGCCTTAGAACACATTAAAATTGTAGTCTTAATCCGATTACAAGTAATATTAGTTTTATTAAACAGAGTTGATAAAATTCTTTTGTAAATTTAAACAAATTACAAACTTTTATTTTGGATGTAATGACCTTTTAATTATATTGTTATAACATTTCATTTACATCTGAGATGTAGTATGTAGTTATAAACTTTTATCTTGTGTGTAATTACTGCGTCGTTACATTGTAACTATATTGTATTTACATTGTAGTTACATCCAAAAAATAATATTCATAAATGTAAATTTTTCTTTGTACATTGCATGAACAGTATTTGTTTATAGTTGTATAAGTAAATATACACAGTGCACATGTAATACAAACTTTTTTCTTGTGTGCAGTTACTGTGTCGTTACATTGTAATTGTTGTGTCATTACATTGTAGTTACATTTAAGATAATATTTATAAATGTACATTTTTTTGTGTATTGCATTTGCAGTAGTTGGATATCTAAACGTAAATATACACAGTACACGTTATTACAAACTTTATTACTACGTCATTACATTGTAATTGCATTAATATTGCATTGTAATTACATCCAATATATTATTTCTATACTTAAATGTTTCTTTGTTTATTTCGTGAACAGTGTTTGTGTATTTATTTGCAAATATATGGAATACATACATGATTACAAACTTTTTTGGATGTAAGTACTCTGTGAAAACAGTGTAAATACATTGATAAAACATTGTATTTACATTGTAATTATATTTTAAAACACTGTATTTACTACATCGTTAAAACATTGTAATTACATTGTTTTTACATTGTAACATGTTATTACAAACAATTATTTTGGATGTAATTACTAGGCCGTTACATTGTTAATACTGTCATTATATGTATTTACATTTTAGTTACATTAAAAATATTTATAACCGTAATTTTTTCTTGTATATTGCATATATACAATAATTGGTCATCTATAGTTGTAAACGTAAATATACACAGTAAACAAGTAATTACAAACCTGATGTCATTACATTGTAATTACATTGCTTTTGGTTTGAAATTATTTTCTAGATAATATTTCTATACTTAAATGTTTCTTTGTTCATTTCATGTACAGTGTTTGTGTATTTATACGCAAATATATGCAGTACATACGTAATTACAAGCTTAATTTTACAAAATTACATTGTTTTAACATTGTAATATGTAATTAAAAACTTTTGTCTTGGATGTAATTGCTAGGTCGTTATATTGCAAATACTTTCATTATATGTATTTACATTATAGTTACATCCAAATTAAAATTTTAAATGTAAATATTTCTTTATATATTGCACGTACAGAATTTGTTTATTTATAGTTGTATACATTAATAGTTTAATTTATAGTTAAAAACATAATTTTATTGTTATGTTATAATTACTACATGGTTATAACATTGTTTAAACATGGTATTTTATTGTATTTATATTGTTTTTACATTGTAATTACATTGTTAAAACATCGTAAATACTACATTGTCATGACATTGCAATTACTACATGCATTTACATTGTTATAACATTGTTATAAAATTAATACATTTTAGTACATTGTTATTACAATGCAAACACATTATTACATTGTCATGACATTGTTATAACATTGTATTTACATTGTTATTACATTGTAATCTCTACATTGTTATAACATTGTCATTACATTGCTTTAACATTATAATTACATTGTTATAACAGCGTATTTACTACATTATCATAACATTAGATTTACTACATTGTTATAATATTGAATTTACCACATTGTTATAAAATTTTTAACACATTGCAAATACAGTATTACATTGTTATTACTATATTTTTATAACATTGTAATTACTACACTGTTATAACATTGTAAATACATTGCTTCAACGTTGCAATTACATTGTTATAACATTGTATTTATTGCCTAGGTTTAACATTGTTCTTACATTGTAAGGTTTAACATTGTTCTTACATTGTAATTACTACATAATTTTTAGACTATAATTACATAATACAACATTGTAATTACCACATTGTTAGTACATTTTAATTACATGATTTTACACTGTTTTATCATTGTTATAACATTGCATTTACATTGTAATTACATTGTTAAAACGTTGTAAATACTACATTGTTATAGCATTGTAATTACATTGCTTTAATATTGTACTGTGTAATTACAAGCATTTATCTTGGGTGTTTTACAATGTCATTACATTATAAATACTGTCATTATATGTATTTACATTGTAGTTATATCCAAAATAATA